GACTGCAGACCACAGGGTCGGGGTGAGGGTCAGGGGAACCTGAGGGGCCTCCAGGGGCCAGACCTCCCAGGGATTTTCAGGCTATGGTGAGAAGCGTGGACTTAGAGGCACTGGGGAGCCATGGATTGTTCCGAGCAGGGAGGGGTAGGGCTGAGTTTGGGATTTAGAAAGATCCGTTGGGCTGTCTTGGGGTGGGAGGCTGGGAGGGGGCAGGAGACTAGGTAGGAGGCTGGGGAGACAAGTCCTGGTCCAGGGCTGGGCTGTAGAGACCCCAAGTTTGGGAGGCCCAGGAGGTAGGTTCCCATGTTTGTCCTTCCCTGAGGGAAGGAGGCGCCCAGGTTTTGGGCCTGGGCAGTTGGGTGCCTTCTCTGGGCTCTCAGAAGGGTAAATGAAGGGGCAGAAGCTGGAGACAGGTGCCCCGAGGTGGGGTGGGGAGTTCCTCCAAGCCACCAGAGGAATTGTCTGTGGGTCTATGTGGTCCTCTGCTGCCCCCTGCTGGCTCTGCGTTGACACGGGTCCTGCCTGCAAGTCCGGCAGAAAGGACAGACCCAATCAACTTCAATCCCAAGCAGTGATAAAAGATGACATTTCTGGGGCGACCATGCGGCAGGGTGCACCCGTGTTCACTGTCCGCCCCCCCGCCGCCGTGCCCCTGGGTCTTCAGCTGCCTTCTCCAGCACACCGAAACAAATTCAAAACTGACCTCCCAAATCTTCACTGTTCCTTCCCTCCTTCCCTCCCTCCCTCCCTTCCTTCTCTTTCTTGGTTTTATTGAGATATAATTCACATACCAGACCATTCACCCATTTAAAGTGTACAGTTTGGTGTTTTTAATATGTTCATAGGGTTGTGCAACCATCTGCATGATCAATTTTAGAACATTCCCATCACCCCCAAAAGAAACCCTGTACCCCTTATTAGTCACTCCCCATCCTCCGCCCCTCCCCTCCAGCCCCATGTCCCCGTCCCTCCAGCTGCTGGCAACCACTCAGCTGCTTCCTGTCTCTATGGATTTGGCTATTCTGGACATTTCCCATCAATGAAATCAGACAATGTGTAATTTTCTGTGTCTCGCTGCTTTCACTCAGCATCGTGTTCTTTTTTTTTTTTTTAAAGATTTTATTTATTTATTTGACAGAGAGAGATCACAAATAGGCAGAGAGGCAGGCAGAGAGAGAGGGGGAAGTAGGCTCCCTGCTGAGCAGAGAGCCCGATGCGATGCGGGGCTCAATGCGGTGCTCAATGCGGTGCTCAACGCGGGGCTTGATCTCAGGACCCTGGGATCATGACCTGAGCTGAAGGCAGAGGCTTTAACCCACTGAGCCACCCAGGCGCCCCTCAGCATCACGTTCTTAAGGTTCATCCATGTTGTGCCATGGCTCGGTACTTCGGTCCTTATTTTTGGCTGATTAAATCCCCTTGTCTGAGTACACCTTGTTTTGTTTCCCCATTCATCCACGGATGGACATTTGGTTGTTTTCACTTTCTGGCTATTAGGAGCAGTGCTGTGAACATTTGCTTACCGAGTTTTCGCATGGACACGTTTTCCCTCCTCGCATACCTGGCCCTCTTGCACTGTGAATGCCGCCACTGCCCCTGCTTCTGGTCAGCAAGCCAGATATGGGGCGAGGGGGTGGTCCCCCACTCCAGCTCCCCCTTCCCCTGGCTTTCCCAGCACCTGCTCATTCTTCTCCATAACATCACTCCCCTGGAAATTATGTCTGATGCCATTTGTGTCAGTTTTCTGAGGGCAGGGATCTCTGATTTGTCCTCGGCTATCTCCTCAGAGCCTACACCAACTGAACACAGCAGGCAATCAATAAATGTTTGTTGAGCTAACAAGCAAACACGTTTGTGACACACCCTTCTCCCTCATCCCTGATATCCAACCAGGGACCAGATCCTGTCAATGCTTTGTTCTAAACATCTTTTGTCTCTGTGCATTTCTTCCCCCCGCCATGCCCGCCACCCTAGTCCAGCACCTGCTGAATGAATGAATGAGTCATTGAAGAGGTGGAGGACAGCAGGTCCTCCTGGGAAGTTCTCTCAGGGAGATGTGGAGGTTGAGAACGTAGACTCTGGTGTGCATTATGGTAGCATGTTGATTAGGCTGTTCATACATATTGGTTTTCCCTATTTTTTTTTTTAAGATTTTATCTATTTATTTGAGAGCCAGAGAGAGCACAAGCAGGGGGAAGGGCAGATGGAGAGGGAGAAGCAGACTCTCTGCTGAGCAAGAAGCCCAATGCGGGACTCGATCCCAGCACCCCGAGAGCATGACCTGAGCTGAAGGCAGACGCGTAACCGACTGAGCCCCCCAGGCGCCCCCGTTTCGCCTATTCTGCATACATGGGAACATTGCCCCTGCCCAGCACTCTTGACATTGGATTGTATCACGTGCCTTCCTTGGCGAAGATGTGAGTGGGACTGTCACTTCTGGGTGAAGCCTTTAAAAGCCTGCATGTTTTGCCATGTCCCCGCCCTTTTTAAAGATCCTATCTCCAAATATATTAACAGTAAGGGCTATGGCTTCAACAGACACATTTTCGGGGGATGCAATCCAGCCCACGTCAGGGTTGATACTAAGTGAGCAATCAGTTTACTCTTGAAAAAGAGAGTTTACTCTTGAAAAAATACCGTGGTCTTGAAGGTGGGGGTTGTATGAATCAAGATTTAGAAGGAGGTGGTTGCAAAGAATCCCAAAGTAATTTAGTAACTTGAATGAGAGAGGAGTCTTTCTTTCTCAGGTAACTTATCTAACCTGTCATGGTGGCTCTGTCCTGGTTGCTGTTCTTGCCCCAGCTCTCTCTAACCCGGATCTATGCGCCCCTGTCCATGCGATTCCAGATGGCTCTCACCACCACATCTTTAAGCTCTGGGAAGGGGGAATGCTTTCCCTTTAACCGTGGACTTGAGGACTGAGCACGGCCATCACTTCTGCTCGCATCCCATTGGCTGGGAGTTAGTCACATGGCTACATTGAGCTGCAGGGTAATCTGGGAAATGTAGTTTTTATGCTCAGTTGTCATACACTTGGTTCAAAACCCTATTACTGAGGAAAAAGAGAGAACAGATACTGGGGTTTGATGAGGGGTTGCTGGACAAGAGGAGAGGTAAGCAGGCACAGGATCCCCCCATACTCTGTGCCCAGGCAGCCTGTGCTGGGACTGACACTGACCATGACTTGACCTGGCTGACCTTCTCAGACGCAGCAGATCAGGGGCCCAAGAGATCAGGGTGTCCGGAGAGGTCTCAGGATGGAGAAATCCTTACAGGGAGTATTTGCGTGTCAAGTCAGCAGGAGATGCAACTTCCTGTGAATTTTTCCTCATCCTCTATATTAATTTCCGGTGGCTGCTGTAACCATTTGCTACAAGTGTGTAGTGACTTAAGACAATAGGAATTTATTCGCTTACAGTTCGGGAGGTCAGGAGTCTGAAATGGGTCTCACTGGGCCAAACCCAAAGTGTTGGCGGGGAGCGGGGATTGCTTTCTGGAGGTTCTAGGGGAGAATCTGTGTTCTTGCCCTTTCCAGCTTTTGGCTTTGCTGTGGCCTCTTTCTGTCTTCAACACCAGCAAGAGCCGATGAAATCTTTCTCCCATCACATGGCTCTGACTCTGTGTGGTCTTGGCTTTGGGGCCCTTCCTCCATCTTGAGAATCCAGTGTAATCTCCCCATCTCAAGATCCTTCACCCAATCACGCCTGCCTAGTCCCTTTGGCCGCCTAAGGTAACATTCACAGAACATTAGCACAGAGGCAACCATATTCAGCCTGGCATAGTCTTGTTTTTCAGCTCCCAGAGCAAAAGTGACTGTCTGCTCTACCTTATGTGGGGGGATTTTTATCCCCTGCCCTGTCAGCTGCTCCTCATCTCCCTGACCTCGCCTCCCACCCTTTCCTCCTTCCTTCCTCTGCTCCCACCACCCTGGCCTCTTTGCTGCTCCTTGACTCCCCCCTCACCAGGGCCTTTGCACTTGCTGTATCCGCTGCCTGGAATGCTCTCCCTTCAGATCCCTACATGGCTTCCTCTTTCTCCTCCTTTAGGTCTTTGCTCATGGTCACCTTCTCTGCGAGGCCTTCTCTGCCCTTCCTATTTAAAATCACAGTCCATCCGTGCTCCCAATCCCCTTCTCTCTTCATTCCCCTCCCCCTCTTATCACCATCCAGCACACCACGTATGTTAGTTACTCTGATTGCTGACTCTCGCCTCCGCCTCAGTCTGTTTTGTTTCCTCCCAAAGCTGCAGGATCCAGAACCATGCATAGCACATGGCTTATTTATTGCTGAATGAATGAATAAATTAAGGGTGACAGATTGGGCCCACATTTGGGACTGGGTGGAGGTTGGGTGGGGGTAGGAAAGGGATCTGCTGCACTGAGGGCCTTGGTACGATTCTGGATCAGGAGCAACAGGCAGAAATTGGTCACAGGTTCTGAGAGACTGAATCTTGAGCAGGGAAGGGGTCTGACAGCTGTGCTCACTGGCCAGGACTGTCGTCTGGGGCCTCCCATGTCATGCACCTTATCCTTTGGGGCCTGTGTGGTAGGGAGCTGCCTTGTCCCTAGGGGAAGGGCTCCAAGGAAAAACAGGGAACAGGGGTGGGGCATTGTGGGCTGACAATTAGAAGTCCAGCGAGTAGGAGCCTGTGAGTATGGCTTGAAGCAGGCCTTTCCTCACACCCAAATATCTAGTGCGTGTCTGGGGGTACTTTGGGTTAGGAGAAGGCAAGAGCCTGCCTTTCCTAGGCTCGAGGCCCAGGCCAGCTTGCTGGACAGACCAGACTTGAGGGTGGATTATATACTCAGAGGGTCAGAGAGGTGCTGGGCCCATCACAATCTCTTGGCCCCAGCCCAGTGTTGTGCTGAGTCTTCATTTAAGGCCACCTTATTGGCCCCCCGCCATGCTGGTCCTGTGGGGTCTCTGGTGTGGCTTCTCTGGGTGCACCAGGCCCCCAGGGGAGGGCTGAGTCTTTTGCTCTTCCAAGGGCCTGGGACCTCTTCAGGGGGTTGGCATGAGCTGGCAGTAAGGGGCAGGGTCGGGGTTCAGCAGGTCCTGGGGGGGAAGGGGAAGAGAAGGATTGTGGATGGGGTAGGGGGAGAACACACCTGGAGAGAATGGTGGAAGGAGAGAGGCACGCAGAGGCGGGAGATACCAGCCACCAGGAGGGCCAGAGAAAGGGGTGGACACAGAGCAACAGGGATGGGGAGACAGGAGGGACAGGAGCACAGAGAGGGAGAGAAGGACAGAGACATCAAGAAACAAAGATGGGTAAAGAGATAGATAGAGAGAGAAAGAAAAAAGGATGTAGGGAACCAAAGAATGACAGCAGGAGGCACCCTAAGAGGTGTAGAGAAATGAGGAGAAATGTATACAGACACATGGACACAGAGATCCACAGGCAGATTACAGAGAGGGGCTGGGACCTGCAGCCTTCAAATCCTTCTAAGAAGGAGGAAGTTACAATCCCGGAGGGGAGAAACTGTGCTGTGCTTCCCGGGGGAGCTACAGACCCTGAGATGGTCAGTGGTGGACAGTCAGTGAGGACAGCCCTGTCCCTTTCCCGCCCCAACCTGCCCCTGGTCAGGATCTCTCTCACGTCCCAGCTCCACACCTGGTAGGGGCGGTTCTCTGGATCTGGCTGCTGCTGGGGCAGGGGCTACAAGGGAAGAACACGGGTAAGCCAGGCCCCCAGCACCCTGACACGCTCCCACCTTTGACCTTTGCTGTGAGGACAGACCTGGCTTCCAAGTCCCCATTGCCCCTTCCTGACTCCACGGGTGGTGTGGGCGGTGTTCTGACAATGACCCCCATAATGCGCTTAGCCTCCCACACATGCCTGTGATTCTAAGCTTTTCATCTCAGCTTTTGAAATTTCTCCTCTTGCTCATTTAAGTTCTTCTTCTTATCATCCCTTCCCACCTGATTATAAAGGGAGTATCTGCTCAGTGTGGAAACTACAGACAAAGGGAAGAGGGAAAAGAAAGCACCCCTGTGCTTGCCCCCCCCCCACAACCTCCATGCCCCAGAGACTAATGCTCCTTATGTTGTGTCCTTCCAGTCTCTTTTCCCGGTGGTTTTAAAATAGGGAGCATCCCAGGGTGAGTTGTGTTCCTACAGTGTGGGACAAGGTGACAGGCACCACAGGGGGTGGGACTCACCATGGAGGTGTTCGTGGACCCTGTGTCACTGGGGGGAGACACCAGGAAGGTTGGAGATGGCATCACTTCGTAGATGTTCTGGTCTCCTGAAGCAGAGGACAAGGGAGGAGCTGGCTGACACACAGCCCGCAGGCCCATGCTGGCTGCTGTCAGTGGCTGCTGTCATTTATTCATCTAACATTGGTACAAATCCCTTTCCTTCCCCAGCCCCGTGCTGGGGACACAGCAGAGACTGAGGCAGTGCTGGCCCTCCCCTCCAAGGCTCGCATCCAGTAGGGGAGACTGATCTGTCCCCAGAGTGGGTAGGGCTGAGTGGCGGAGCTCAGAGAGCTCCTGGAGGGGAGCCGGGGAGGGCTTCCTGGAGAGGGGACATCTGAGACTGGGAAGAGAACTGAGAACTATGCAAAAGCAGGAGGGAGTGGCTGGTGGGGATAGCCTGCCATGTTTGAGGAGCTGTGATATATTTGGTCTGTCTGGATTATACATATATTTTATTTTATATTGTTTTGTTTCTGAGGGTGGGAATGTTACATGTGGGAGATGAAGCCAGGAAAGACGGTGGAGACCAGTTTAGGTGGGTCTAGAGAGCCATGTAAAGGAAGCTGACTTTATCCTAAGGACCCTGGAGAGCTACAGAGGGCCTCTGAGCAGAGGAGAGACAGGGTGACAGTTTTGGAAGCACTCTGCCCGGGGATGGGGTCCTTCCCACCCACCATGGGGTGGAGGCCAGCCTGGGGGCCGGGAGCCCAACAAGGAGCTGGGTGTGGGAACCTGGGAATAAATGAACCACCGGGACTGGATATGCCAGCCACTGAGAAGAGGAGGAAAAGCAGATTTGGGGTGAGTGTCGATGTACTCGGAATCTGTGGGCTGAGTCTGGGGGGCTCCAGAGAAGTCTGGGTGGGATGAGTGATTGGGGGGGTTGAGGTGTGTGTGGCTGATGGGGAGAAGAGGAAGGTAAGCCACCCACCAGGACCTCTGGCTTACCAGCATTGTGACTGGGGTGGGCCTCCGGCTTCTCTGTGGGTGTCATCCTGAGGACATATGGAGAGAACAGTATTAGGGTAGTAAGCTGCTCAGGTGGATGGAGAGAAACTCGGAGAACCTGGAAAGCCCATCAGTTCATCAGAGAGAGAGAGAGATGATCTCTGCTTCAGCATGAGCCAGGACAAGGTCTCCCTTATCCCCACCTCTTTTCTCATAATCTCCAGCCACTGAGCCCTTCCTTAGTTTCCCCAGCCACCACCGTATGCCAATGAGTAATGTTTCCCTAATGTCACAATTTAGGCAGACCTTCTAAATGATTATGCTCCTCCCACCTGTTTCACAATTTCCTTGATATTTCTCTTTGAATCAGCTCAACTGAATACTTTTATTTAAAAAGTACACTTGGCATCCCTGCAGCAAATTCATTAATTCATTAATTCACTAAACACATATTTACAGAACGAGGGCCACTGGGTCCTTCTGAAGCCACTGGGGACACAGCGGGGAACAAGACAGACAAAGACCCCTGGCCCCCTAGAGTGGGGGTCTCTAGGAGAGAGACAGAGAGAGAGAAGTCCAAAAAAATGACTGGCAGTAGAATCTCAGGGAATGAAACATACTAAAGAAAATGAAGATGGAAAGAGGCAGAGGGTGGAGGTGTGTATGTGTGTGTGTGTGTGTGTGTGTGTGTGTGTGTGCAGTTTCGAGTAGAATGGTATTGGTGGGGGGCTCATGGAGACGGCGACATTTGAACAAAGGTGTGATGTAGGCATGTGGACCAGCTTTGCAGAAATCATGGGGAAAGAGCTCTAACAGCCTGTGCAAAGGCCCTGGGGCAGGAGCAGGAACAGCAAAGAGACGAATATGGCTGAGGCAGAGAGTGTGGGGGAGGAAGGGGGGAAGGGTGAGGCCGGGGGGGGGTGGGCAGCAGGTCAAGCTAGGTCTTGTGTCCATAGTGAGGACTTTGGCCTCGACTCTGAGGGACTCAAGCTGACTGATTTTCACAGGATATTTCTGGCTGCTGAGTGGGAAACAGACTGTGTGGGCAAGAGCAGAAATGGGAGACAGTCAGAAACTGCCATATTATAATGAAACCAGACATAAGTAGAAAGTGATGGGGGAAATGAAGAAAAGCCAAACAATGGGTTAAATCTGTGGTTTGATAGGGTTCTTGGTTTTCTCTTGGGAAAAGCTTGCAAGTGTTAGAAGGGCGTTAAAGCTGACTAGAACCAGATTGAGATATTCTCTTGCCACAGTCAGAATGCTACAAAGAGAACAGGAAAAGGAATTTCTCTGTGGAAATATTTCAGATTTATAGAAAAGTTGCAAAAATGGTACAAAGAACATCTGTGTAATTTTTACTCACATCAGCCTATTGTTTTTATTCCTTTTGCTTCAGCATCTGCTTTCTCTCTCCTTCTGTGTCTCCTGTGCATATTTTGTTTTCCTGAACCATCTGAGGATAAGGGTCATGCATCATGGCCCTTCACTTGTAAACACTTCCAGGTATTGAACTATTTTCATTTTGCATTTTTTTTTAACACTATAGCTCAGAATGCCATGTCAAGTTGCCCTTTTCAGGGCAGTTCTTTGAGGATCTGTGAGATTCTCTGAGAATCGCTGGCAGTAGCAGAAGGAAAGCCAGTCAGAGGGTCTGGACATGTGGACTCCAGTTTTGGTTCTAGAGCTTACCGGTCACTCAGGTGTGGGTTCCCATCTCGGGGACCTGCTGCCACTCACAGGCCAGTTCTATGCCATTTGGCAAATGACTTCATGTCTCTAAGCCTTAGTTGTCTCTAGAGACGATGGCAAACCACCCACTGAGGGCCAAATCGCTTGCTGGGGAATGGCAGGAAAAAGATGTGACCACCAACTGAGCCGTGAACCGGACACGGGCACTTGGAGTCTTCTCACTCCCCTCCCGTGTCCTTGCAATGTAGGTGCTACCTGCCTTTCCTGCTCCCAGAGGCTGCTCCAAGGACGCGTCCTTGAGATGGTGTATAATGCTGAGAACACCTGCGTGGTGTGTCTGGCTGAGCCCATTTGGGGCCTCTTTATAAATCTGTAAGATTTGGAGGGTGAGTGTGGGGGGATCCATTCATCTTGCTGCTGCCTGAGACAAGCTTCCTGCTTAAGTTCCTTTTGTTTATTGAAAGGGCCAACTGCCAACCTGGAGGGGCCTGCCTCTTTCCTTGGTCTCTCCCTCCTCTCTGTGTTTGGGGGCTGGTTTCAGGCTACACCTGGTTTTAGGCTAACCGGAGGGTTATGGACCAGTATCACCTCTTTTCATACCACCAGTGAGCTAAGAAGGAGTGGGGGTGGTTAGCAGGATAGCTTAGGTGCCTCCAATAGCCATGTTACAACTGTGGCAGACATGATTAATCAATCACAACATCTGTTCCTATACACTCAGACACCACCTCCAACTCCTGTGGCAGACATGATAAATCAATCACAGCATCTGTTCCCACTGCCCTGAGACACCACCTCCAACCCCTTTCCACCAAGCTCTCTATGGCACCCAGAAGGAGGTGAAAGCTGTTTGCCACTCCTAAATGGGAGTGTGTTGGGAGAAAGACAAGTAAGTGGAAGGATGGAGATCTGGAGATCACAGCACCTAAGGGAGAGAATAGGAAGAGGGATTTCTCTTTGGAAATATTTCAAACTTATAGAAAAGTTGCAAAAGTGAAGGAGGAGGTGGGGGAGAAAAGGTGGCTGCCTTCATTTCCTGGGGATTAGGGAGAGCAGAAAAACTACACATTTCCAAGCGGTTCAGAACCCAAGTCAGGAGACAAAGTTCTGAACAGGCTGATCTCACGAGGAAGGAATTTTTCATGAATAGACTGTTTCCTGGAAAAATAGGCCCTTGACTCTCTCCCCCATACAGAAGTAGGCACCATCTGATGCCTTTGCCAGCCCACCATCCACTCTGCTTCTTTGGCACTAGCGTCTTTTTGAGTGTGTGTGTGGGAAGCCCCTCCCCCCTATGAATCCATTTAGTCATGTGGAGCTGGGTTGTTCTCTGACTCCAGAGCTATGCAAATTGCCCAGGTTTGGCCAATCAGGGTATTCCAGCACCTGGCCACAGTGATTGGTCCACATGAGGACATGTGATTTGAGTTAAGCCAGTGAGAAGCAGCTCTGGGGCTTTTGTTGGAGGCATCAGGAGTCCCATGCAGTCTTCTCTCTGTGACGGCTGAACTGGTGGGATATAAGCCTGGAGCCCCTGGGAGCTATCTTATCACACCACAAGGGCAGGTTCTGTCTGAGAATGAAGCCACCACAGAAAAAAGCAGAGTTGAGAGGTGTATGGGGGAGTCTCTTGACAAAATCAAGTCCCCGGATCCAGCCATATCTGAAGCTCATGAAAGACCAAAAAAACTTTCTAATTTTTTTAAGGCCATTCAAAGTTAGGATGTCTGTCCCTTGAATTCTGTCTCATACAGGATAGAAAGGCCCCTTTCACCTCAAGAGTTCCAAGATTTGATGAGATTGTGTATGAGTCAGAGGACGTGACTCAGGGAAGAATCAATCAATCAAGGAGTGGGGAAGAAGACAGAGGGAAGGAGAGAGAGACCTGGGGCCCCTGTACCTGTGGCTCTGGCCCTTCCAGCCTCTTGTTAACAGGAGATGGGCAATGCACCTGACGAAGAGGGACCCGGCAGCAAGGGACCCAATTATAAGGGCAGCCATGATCCCAGCACTCACGGGCAGGTGTGTTCTGGGCAGGTCCTTAAGCTCTTCTGAGGGGCATGAGAAAGAAAGAGAGGTCTGTGAGATGTTCTAGGAGGGCCTCCCCACTCCCCTCACCCCTGCATCAGTGACTGTCCATAGAGCACTGATGTCCAGTTTCCCTTCCCCAGTCCAGAGCTTTCTCCCGCTTTTCAGAGCTGAGCATCCACTATATGGTTGATTCTGCACATAAAACTCAACGTCTCTGGAAGGAATTCCTTGGCTCACCCCACCTCAAAATCTTTGCTTCCCTAAGATTTCCTACCATATTTGGCACATCTGAAACCTACCTCCCGACACACTCCCCCACCTCACCCCACCTACCTGCTTTTTCTCGCCTCAGTTGGTTGACACCTTTATCCTTCTAGGGAAAGAATGCAGTTCTGGGTCCTCATAGGGTCTGGATGCATGGGGTTCTCAAACACTACCTGCCAGGTTTGGGACAAAGCCTCCCTGACTTCCTACCCCCACCATGAGGACCTCTAGCTTGACTATCAAGCAGAACACCTGTTATATCCCCAGCCCTTCTTGGCAGCTAAGCTCGTAGACTCTGAGGTCAGAATGCTGGGGTTCACGTCCCTGGGCAGATTACTCAATCTCTGTGTCTCTTCCCATTTGTGAAATGGGGGCAATAGGAGTGTCTACCTTGTAGGGTTGTGAAGACTGAATGAGTTTGCACACACACACACACACATGCACACATGCATGCACACAGTTCCTTTAACTATCCAAGAACGTAGGATCTGTGCCATTTTAAAGATGGGTAAACTGAGGCACAGAGAGGTAAGCTAACCTGGCCAAGGGATCACAGTAGGTGCAGTGCTGGCATTACATGTGGGCCACCTGATCTTCTAATGACCACTCTGTGTGGCTTCCAAAGGAGGGGCCTGTGTCCCAGGAGCCCTTGAAGGATGGGAAGGAACTGTATCGGGTTTTGCATGACTGGAGTGAAGACCATTAAATCCAAAGGGACTAGAGTGTCACCATATATACATATGGATATATGTATATATATGTGTGTGTGTATATTTGTGTGTGTAATTAAATTAATCAATATTTGTCTATTTCATCCATTTCCCTAAAAGTTCATCAGTTCAAAGTGTCTGAAACCCATTTTAAAATGTACTCTTCTCACTGGGAGAAAGAGGATAGGCTGTGTCTGGGCATATGTGGTTGTTGCTCCCACAACCTGGGGAGATGGCTAAGTCAGGCCCATTTTGCAGATGTGTGCACCAAGGCCCAGAGAGGTTGCATTTGGGCAGAGGATAGAAGGCAGCCCCTCTTTCAGACACTGGAACTTAGCAACTTTTGCACCTTCTACCTTTTAATTGATTATTAATTTATTTTTTAGGTAGGCTTCCCACCCAACATGGGGCTTGAAGTCAAGACCCAGAGATCAAGAGTCACATGCTTTATCGACTGAGCCAGCCAGGTGTCCCTACCTTCTAGGTTTTTGAATCCCTGCAACAGTAAGTGGAAATTCAGTGGCTTCTATGAATCACTCAGGAGGTGGGGCGGGGTGGAGGCTAGACGGGCTGAGTCAAGGAGCTCCCCCACTTCCTGCCCTCCCTACCCCAACCCTGTTGCCCAATCTTCTTACAGCATCCAGAGCCCCTTCCCCAGGATCTGCTTGCGCTGGCCCCTGCTGCCCTGTCCACCCACAAAGTTCCATCACCCACAGCTCCCTTCCTTACCCTCTGGGCTGCCCAGCCTTTGCTCATGCTGTCCCCTCTGCCTGGCACGCTTTTCTCCACACACAATACATAACTCCTGCTCACTTTTCCATTCCTGGTCCCTCTGCAAGCCTTCTCTGACAACCCCAGGCCAAGGAGACTCCTGATACGCTTTTCCATTGATTCACGTTGGCAGATGGGACAAGAAGGAATACTTCAGGGGCGCCTGGGTGGGTCAGTCGGCTAAGTGCTGGCTCTTGATTTCGACTCAGGTCAGGATCCCAGGGTCATGAGATCGAGCCCCGTGTTGGGCTCCCCGCTCAGCACGGGGTCTGCTTGAGATTCTCTCTCTCCCTCTTCCTCTGCCCCTCACCCTGCTTGCACACATGAATGCATGCTCTCTCTTGAATAAATAAATAAATAGATAAAGAAAGAAAGAAAGAAAGAAAGAAAGAAAAGAAAGAACGAACTTCACCTACCTCCATTCTGACCTCAGTCTGTGCTTAGGAATTGATGAAGTTCTTTCCAGCTTGTCTCTCATGGAAAAGACCCACCCAAGGCATCCTGTGATGGGAACGGAAACTACTCCCTCAAGCAGTAGGGACTGCTCTGAGCCAGTAAGACCCCCTTCCCGACTAACCCCAAGACAATGACCTGACCTTTGTCCCACATTTTTTCTTCTATAAACCTAGAAGTGTTTTCAGCACTTTGGAGATGCTAGTCTTTGAGATGCTAGTCTGCCGTCTTCCTGGGGCTGGCTTCACTGAAATAAATCCCTTTCTTGTTTCACCACCCTTCCTCGCTCTGCCTTTGGGTTTTTGTCAGTGAGTGGCCAAACCTGGTCTGTTTGGGATCCCCGGAGCCAAGTGCTCCTGCACCCCAGCGCCCCAGCTACAGACATGTAGGTGTGTCCTCAGCTCACTCCACCCCTCCACCACTGTGAAGCCTCCAAGCCTTCAGGAGGGATGGATCCCGCCTCCAGGTCTGGGTGGGCTCCCTTGGCTTATTCCCTTGTTACAATGACTGCATCAGGAAGGGCTGCTGTTCAGACCTAAGCCAATAAGCGCTCTGCATTCCTTCGGCCTTCCTGATTGGTCCAGGTTGGTCCAATCAGAGTGAAGTGAAGGGGTGTGGTTCAGAGGGGGCTGCTAGGGGAAGGGATCCCTTGTTCTGGAAGCTGGAGACTTGGGAACCTTACGGTCATCTTGCTCCCTTGAAGGCATTAATCATGTCTCCTACCCCTTGGAAGGAGAACCCTGAACTTGAGCGGGGCAGAAATAAAGACATTTCCCAGCCTCCTTTGCAGCCTCCATAAATGGACAGCTAGCTCATTCAAAAGTGCCTTAGAGCACGGTGTTGAACATCGCTGCTAACATTAGAACCCCAGGCGAGTTCACATACAACATTCTGTGTCTGAATTTCCCCATTATATAAGGATACCAGTCATACTGGATGAGGGCTAAGCCTAGTGATCTCATTTTAACCTGATTACCTCTATAAAGATGCTATTTCTAAGTAAGGTTATATTCTGATGTACTGGGGGTCAAAAAAGTCAGTGTCTTTTTTGAGGGGACAGCATTTAACATGCAATACCTGCCAAGCTTGGTTCCCTGCTATCCTGAGGCATCTTTGAGCTGCTCAGAATCCTTGAATCTATTTCTTTTCTGCTTAAATCAGCTAGAAGCGGTTTCTGTTGCTGTAGCAAGAACTCTTCCAGAGCCACAGGATTAAGTGTCCCCTCTTTAGAGCTTGTTATATTTTCTGCTTTTTTTCATAGGCAGTGAGCTTAAGAGAGGGAGCCTGTGAATCACCGTCTTTTTCAAAGTCGTTGTGGAAGGATCTCTTCTGTGATACCATCTCTTATCTGGTGGAAGGATCTAATACCCCTCCCTTGAATCTTGGCTAATCTTAGCCGCTCCTGTTGTAATCAAAAGAATACAATGTAAGCAATGCTGTATGACTTCCAGGGCTAGGTCAGAAGAAGCCATGGCGTTTCTGCCTTGGTCTTTTGGAACACTTGCTCTCCACTTGGTCTCCCCAAGAACCCAGTCTCCATGTTGTGGGGAAGCCCAAGCAGTCACATTGGAGAGACCAAGTAATAAAGATCTGGTGCATAGCCCCAGCTAAGTTTCCAGCTGACGGGCAGGGCGAGCCTCCACATATCTGAGTGAACACACCTCTGGATGATTCCATCCTCCAGCATTTCAGCCAGACTCAGCCTTTTGAGGCTTGTCATCTGAGGCCCCTGACATCATGAAGCAGACAGACCACCTCTGCTTGCCCTGTCTGAATTCCTGATCCCAGCAATCATGAACATCATAAAATGGTTGTTCTATACAAATGATTTGTTCTGCACCAAGAAGTAACTAGAACAGGGGCGCCTGGGTGGCTCAATTGTTTGGGCAACAGCCTTCAGCTCGGGTCATGATCCTGGAGTCTCAGGATTAAGTCCTGCCTTGGGCTCCCCGCTCGGCGGGGAGTCTGCTTCTCCCTCTGACCTCTGCCCTCTCCCACACTCTCTCTCTGTCTCTCTATATCTCTCTCATTCTCTCAAAGAAATAAATAAAATCTTAAAAAAAATAAAAAAAAAACAAGTAACTAGAACAGAGCCTCCCTCTTCTGTTTCTTCTTCCAGGACTGAAAGTTTTCTTTTTGGCTTTTTTCTTTACCAATCAACTGGGACCATCTATCCTCAGTTCTACCAGCAAAAAATCATCTGGGTCTTCTTCTATGGACCAAAATTAACCATGTGTATCTTTTAAAAATTTTATTTATTTATTTATTTATTTGACAGACTGAGATCACAAGTAGGCAGAGAGGCAGGCAGAGGGAGAGATGGGGAAGCAGGCTCCCTACCAAGCAGACAGCCTGATGTGGGGCTCGATCCCAGGACCCTGAAATCATGACCTGAGCCAAAGGCAGAGGATTTAACCCACTGAGTCACCCAGGTGCCCCTAACTGTGTTTATTTTTGAGTAGATACAAACACATTTGGAAAAGTGCTTTGAGAGACCATTAGAAAAGCAGACACGGTTCAGACCACACATGAAAATAGAATTCCAAACTACAACCTGCAGCAAGGACCAACCTACCTAGAAGACCAGTCCTCTTACAAACAGTCCACGATGACAGCCTGCTTTGAGTCACACTTGCGGAAAGCCAGATTACTATCTCCAGTGACAATCCAGGAAGACAAATAGTAACTTCTATAAGAATTGACCCTAATGGCCAGGACTTGATTAATAACCAAGAGCTTCCCTGATTTTTGTCCCTGCTTCTAACTTAGGACCAGCTCCTAAGAAAGCCAGATATATACCCTAACCAGGGGCCTCCAGCGTCCCTGTGCCAACAACCATCAATCAGGGCACAGCTGAAGCCTTCTCTTTCTTCCACTACGAAGCTTTCCCATCCCTCAGCCTGCCTTTGAGTCTCTGCCCAATTGCAAGTGACAGGAGCCAACTCCCTTATTCCAGCCAGCTCTGAGTAAATGGCCTTTGCTTTTCCCATTGGCTGGGCTTGGGGTTTCCACAACCTCACATGAATTTGCCAGCCAGTCCTCACAACAATCCATGGTGAGAGGTGTGATTGCCACCATTTTAGTATTTAGGGGGTGCGGAACAGAGGCTCTGAAAGGTGTGGGCATTTGACTCAAGGTCATATAAACCCATGACACCAGTCAGTTAGTGGTTGTTAATGATGAAGCAGAGTAAAGTCCTAAAATTGTGGGCTCTGGAGCCCACCAGCCTGAGTTCAAGTCTGGCTCCTGCTGTCCCTTAGCTGGGTGACCTGGGCAAGTTACTTA